CACTGGAAACTCTGTCTCTGTTTTTTTTTTTTTTTTTTTTCAGAGTGCACCAGTGTTAATGCTGGCTGTTCCCCTGAGCCTGTGGAGAGACATGAGTGCAGATATGTACACGGCTGTAGTCGGTACAGGCGTAGTAACAGCCGAGGGGGAGTGGAGAGGTGAAAGGAGAGAAGAAAGGAGAGAGGAGGAGAGGAGGGGAGGAGGGGAGACTAGAAGGGAAAGCTTAAGATATAAACACTTAAATTTATCAGAAAATGACATAAAAGTAGTCAAATAATTATCTTGCTGCATGGACAGATCATTTTACTCGACAAGTTATCTTAAAATAAACGACCTCCAGACTAGAATGAAGCAGTCTCAGAACTAGTAAGTAGATAATAAATCTGAAAACAAGATGAGAAACCTGATATAACTTGTAAAATCTTGGCCAGATCAGAGAAATTTGCAGAGAGGAAAGGAGAAGAGAAGGTGAGGAAGAAAGAGGAGAGCAGCAGGTCAGACAGGAGAGGGCCCTTCTGTGGTTGTGGTCTGTGTCTGGGGCAGCTGACCACTCGGAACACTTTAATCCTGTAGCTCATGTTTAATATAAAGTTGTAGTATAGGGCTGAACGATTTGAGGAAAATATCTTATCTGACCAGTATTGCGACAAAATGTATGTTTTAATAATAGGATTCTGTTCTAAGTTCACATTTTCAGTACATCTAGAAGAACTGACAGAGACTGAAATATGAACTGACAAACTAACACAAGAATCCCATTTCAGAACATTTTTGTACAGTTCTAAACTACAGGGTTAGGGGCTTTTATGCAGAATAAGACTGGAGGTTTTGTTGTTTTGTGGAGAAAATGATGATACTTCATAAATTGCTAATCGTGTTCATTCAACTTGCAATTTCAATTTGATTACAATTAAAGACTTAGCGTGTGTTGTTGTTGTAACCTGTGCTGTCTTTCATCATTGTTGTCTTCTAAGTTAGTCCCAGGAATTCTGCAGCTCCTATGGGGTCTGTCCATAGAGATCCCACATGGAGACCTGCTGGTGCTGGTTTTGCAGGGCAGGTGAAGAGGTGTTGTGTTGTATGAGATGTCTCGCCACACCCTGGACAGGCGTCAGTGATGTTAGGGAGGATACAGTTGGCTCTTGAACTCATACTTCACTCGGATTGACACTGTTATTGTCCCAAGGGCAGCATTTTGTTTAGTCTGGAGGTGCCCCCAGTTAGTGTGGGACAAGTTTGGAGTCCAGACTGGTGCTGCGTAATTGAGTACTGGCCTACCGATGGCTTTGTAGGTTGCGAGGAGCACCTCCCTTCATCATCCCCATGTGGTACAAGCAAGCTTTTTTAGGATTCTGTTTCGCTCACAGCTCATTTAGTCGCAGTGTTATTACAGTATTTTGAAAATAAAAATGAGAAGATTGGTCAAAAGTCACACTTAAAACTTTGACTTTCTGAGGTGTGGGTATGTCTTTATTGGCTCTAGTCACCGGTAGTCTGCTCATAAATTCTGCTTTCCAGGTCAAAAAGAGAGTAGCAAAGGATTTTTCCTCGGATGGACTTGTGTGTGTGATGAACTTGAGCCGTACTTAAAGCTGTACTATGTAACATTTCAACTGGAGCATCCACTTTGTGTGAAATGTTTGACTGTATGCTGCTTTAAGTTTGCCTTGCAACCAGAGGCTAACTAGTTCAAAGCTTGACCAGTTAATGCTTATTTTTTGTGTGTTCTTGAGCAAGACAGACTTATACCCCACTTTAAGCAGGAAGGGCATCTGGACTTTTTACCAATATAACTGGGTCACATATTTTGATTGGTAGCCTCAAATCATAACCTTTCTTTTGCTTGTATACAAAAAATATAACAAAATGTCTGATTACAGGCCTGTAGAAATACTGTATGCCATAGTAAATAAATATACGGTATCGTTTTACATAGGCCTGCTCCTACCAAGCATACAATTGTAACTCTCAACTAATGCTTATTGCAGACCACACGTCACATTTGGTCCCCTGCCATAAACTCTCACATAAACAAACATACAGTACATTACAGTACACATTTCCCTGTAGCGGTTTTGCTAGTGCGACGTTAGCAGCTAAGTGCGAAGGAGCTGAGAAAAGCCCAGTGTTTGGTGCAGAGTGGTTACATCAGACACACAGCTCCGGCCTGGTCACTTCCACAGCCCATCTGCCCGAGTGGAGATGACTCTTAAGTACGCAAAGCTGCCATAAGCCTCTGTTTCCCATTCTAAGCTCTTTTAAAGGGTCCAGCGCCCGGGTGCCATCTGGTTTGACTGTTTTTATTATTTATTTTACATGTACTTTTCCTGTTCCTCCTCTGTTTGCCCCATCGGGACTCAGTGGAGATGGTCCAATATGGATTTTTTGATCCGGTACAGATATTCGATATCTTGTTGCCGATACGATACATACCTCTGTACATAGGCCACGGTACAATACATATCTCGATACAAGTGCATTTTTGATTCGATACCATATATTTCAAATCTATTCAATATTGTTCAGTAAAAATAAAGGCTAACCTGTGGCTTTGATACTAAACATGTTTTGTTTAACCACTTCTTTTGCAAACTTCATATGAAACACAAAGATTTTAATCATTGAAACAGTGAATATGTCAAATGTGTTGCGTAAACGAGTTTCCTTCCTCTAAACAAGCAACAAAACTGTAGGGATGTAACAAAATATATTGATATATCGAGTCGACACAGTAGCCCACAAAATTGATACTGTATCATCACATTAACGATTCAATATATTGATATTTCAGTGTTTTTCCACACCCCTAATTATTAAGCTTTTATAATCAATAGCAAGTACCACAATTAATTATGTTTAAGCCACAGCATAACTTTTTAGCCAATTTTTATTTATTTATTGTTTTCTTTACACACTGGGGCACACACTGGGACACACACATAGAGACTCGCACACAGAGACTCCAGGTAGGATCCATAGCAATGGAAAAATCAACGATTTCACCAGAACTGAAGAAGCAGCATGGATGAGCTGTGAAACATCCTTCCATCAAAAACTTGCACAGACAGAATTGAATTTCTCCTTGGCTGTGTACCTTTTATTATAGTAAAGTTCACAAATGAGCTTCCTTTTTTTTTAATCTTGGTTATAAATGAATTTCTTGCATGAGAGACTGGGGCCGTGCAGGGAAAAATATCAGTACAAATATCTGCAAACTTTTCCTCTAAAATCATCGATAAGCCATAGTGCCCCGTCTAGTCTCTTTACATCTCTGTCTTGTAGTGGGCTTGAGTGACTCCGCCTCCTGGACTGGTCACAAGCCATCGGCCCCCTCTCTGCTGGCTCTTGTTAAACTGTTTCTCTCTTTCATCACAGGATTCTTCCCACATCGCACACTCACATCTTTGGAGCTTTGTAGTCACTGTCGCAATAATTTGGGTGCAGTTTGTTATTGAAAAACACGTTGCATATGACATAACAAAACCATAAAGTGGAAGTTTCTGCTGAAGCCTAGGTTGTAGTTTTAGAAGTCCCAGTTGCTTTGTTTTTAGAGTGAGTTATATGTGTCTAATTTCTTATTATACATGACATAACAAAACACGAAAAATTATGTTGAAGATGTGAAAGTTTCTGTTCATATCATTGGTATTATATTAGCAATTGTATTTTTTTTTGTTACACTTTTACCATTTATATGTTAGTAAAAGATGAAATATAATGATTTTAGCATCTGTTAGAGCATCCGGCTTAAAACTTCTGCCAACTCGGAACTAAAAGAATAGTGCAAAGCCATGGAAGATATACTCTGGGTCATGACACCATTGGCTTAGTAATATCTGTTTTATACAATTATGAAAAAAACAGCAGCTTTTCTCTTACAGTTGAGTTCTGGCATAGTTTACTCGTGAACTAAAAAAGCGACTGGCCGTTTGAAAACATTTGTGTCCTGGTGCAGATAGTGAGATTAGCCTTAAGTAGCTGTTTGTTTAGCCCTCCTCAAGTTTGTTTTCAAGTGGAGTGGCTTAATCAGATTACACATGTGAGGTTTGCAAAGCTGGGCCACAGATACAATGAATAACTGTACAAGTGGAGTTAACCTTATCCCCCATCCACAAGCCTTTTTTGTTCGGGGTTCGTCATCTGCTCATTTCTATGGATGTCATTGCTCTGCCTCGAATGTTCCACAGTACGACATTAAACAGCTCTACTTTATATTTATTCACATACACATGGATTTACAGCTCAAAAATACCTAACAAAACCGGTATTCTGACTGTGCAGGGTCGCCTCTCCACAGATCTGACCTGTAACTCTTGTGTGATTCGGTCTCCATGAAGATAGAAAGTAGGGATGGGACGAGACACAATTTCCGCAAGACGAGATACGAGAACCACGAGGGCCATGAGAATGCGACAAGACGAGATTTTAACATAATTCCTAATATATAAATTTCATGGTTCAATTTCCAATTTTTAACTTTTGTCTGCTATGATACAAAACTGTTATAAAGAAGGAAGAAAATGTATAGCTCAGGCTCATAACTCACTCTCTCAAAGTTCACTAAAATGTTTCATAAATCTTAGTAGTCCCCTTTTTTAGATTTCTTTATCTAGTTGTACATAATATTGACTTAAATAGCTTAGATGTTTGCTTCTCAAAGTGTGGGTTAAATTATAGTAAAAGTTAGTTAAGATTCAACTATACACTTCTCAAATAAATAGAAATGATTGGCCTGATTAGAAATGTTTTGCAAATGGAATTATTACAGATATCTATGTCATTTGGCAGTGGGAGGCCCGGCCTGGTTGCATGGTTATTTTGAGGTTCCTGGCCTGGAAAGTTTGGGAACCTTTGGCTTATAGATGATAAAGTTAATATTTAGTTTTCTCGTAGCAGTAGTATTAGTAGTATTAGTAGTCATTAACTAAACATGGATCTTGCATCAAATGACTGTAATAGAAGTATATTTTTCTAATGTTAATCTTGTTTTTCTCTTTCAGGAACCTATAAAGTCGAGGGCACCGCAGCTCCATTTGGAATATAGATTTTACAAACAGCTGGGAAACTCGGGTAAGACACTACTTATCGCTAGGCCCTATATTTACTCTTACAGTTTATTGTAGGGATTATCTGAATGGAATATTTGAGTCAACACCATCAATCTTCTTCCTCTTTTCCGGGGCGGAGTCATGATTTGACCTGCTGCTTTGGCTGTTAACCAATATTTGCATTGACTTTTAGCCTTTAAAATCGATTGCAAGACTCACTATATTTTTAAGTTGAAGTAGAAGTTGAAGAAGCTGAAGTGGAAGTTGAGGTTGAAGTTCACAAATTAACTTTTCAAAACAAAAATGTATTTATCTGGAATATAAAATAATTTGTTAGCTTTTTATTGTAAATATATACAGCCATGTTTTTAGGGTAATTGCTCTTCTTTTTCTGTTTTTACTCTTTAAAATGACAAATCTGATGCACTGAGGAGAATCTGAAAATGTGAGAACACAAATATTACAATCGTCCTTCACTACATCGCGGTTCACCTTTCGCGGTCTCACTGTTTTGTTGATTTTTTTGGGGGGCAATTTTGCATGCTTTTTTTTTTACAGTGTATGAAAGCGCATTGTGTCCCTCCCCTTGCGTCCTGATTACGGGCAAGTATGCGGGCGGGTAGTAATTACACACGGGCGGGTCAGGAATAAACCAGGTCTAAACCAGATCTAAACCAGGTCTAATCTTGGACTTAAGAGAGAGAACCCCGACCAGGGTGTCCGCAAAGTGCAATCAGGCGACGTGAGGTGCGGAGCTGATCTGGTCCTTTCTCCTGCGGTCACCTCCGAGCCGGTCCCGACAGTGAGTTCTGGTTTAGTCCTGGTTTATTCCTGTTTTAGTCCTAGTTCAGTCCTGGTTTATTCCTGTTTTAATCCTAGTTTAGTCCTGGTTTATTCTTGTTTTAGTCCTAGTTCAGTCCTGGTTTAGTCCTCCTCTTCAGTCCTGGAATCAGTCTTAGGTTAGTCCTGGGGTAGTCCTGGTTTAGTCTTGGTTCAGTCTGTGGCATAGGCAGCTCAAAAGTTTGATATAATCTCAGGTTAACGGGCGGGTACTGTACTGCGCGGGTGCGAGTCTCCAAAAACTGACCTGTGCATGACTCTGCGCTGTAGGGCTCCATTACGAAATAAATGAATTGGTTCGTTACATAGAGAAGGAGGAAAATAACACAAGGATGACAGCAACAATAAGTTTTAAGAAGGGTGCAATAAAGGGTTAACTGTCCTGTCTGAGAAAAGAGTTTAACGTGTGTTGTGAGGGGTTTTACAGCCTTAAAACAGATATAATAATTGTAAAATATAAAGATGACTATTTCGCGGGTTATTTTTAGAACGTAACCCCAGAGATAAACGAGGGACCATTGTAATGCCAAATATGATCACTTTTTTGTTACTGACTTATAGCTATTTTAATTTGAATATATTTTGTCATTTCTAGTGTTTAGTGTTTTCAGTTATTCTTTTAAGCCCGTTCACACAAAAACAGTCTGACCCAGAAATTTACCTGCATTTTGCCAGAACAGTATCACGTTTGAACAAAGCCAGAGCTGATTTCCCTGTATATTTTGATTGAATATTCTGGCATATGTATTTGACAGGGTTTCGAGTCTCTTAGTCAAACTCCCGTGTTGTGTGTTGAGTTCTTATTTAGCTCCACGTGCGTCCCCTTGGCTCCCTTTGCACAGAAATGTCCCTGTGCTGTGATAAGGCGGTGGGCCAATAGGGCAGTCCTCCACTATTTTTAGCCGCCTCTCCACATGCACAAGGCCATTATGGAGACTGCTGTAAACTCCTCCCTTTAACCACAGCACTACTCTATGGCTGTCAGTGAACACAGCCAAGAATCCCGGCCTGACCCTCTGCTCATTGTCTGCTCACAGCTCAGGCGCCTCAGGTCAGGATTTAGAGGAATTACACTGGGAACACCTCTGCTTTTGTCGAGGGTCTGTGAAGCAGCTCATTTTTCCTCCTGCTGAAATCACTATCTTGTTTTTGGAGCTTGTTGTTCAGTGTTCAGGCTCTGGAGAATTTATTTGGTGCCATTAGAAAATCCTGTTGTTTCTTGTAATAATAAATAACCAAGTGAACTTTCAATTCAAGGTTTCTTTAGTAAAAAAAATAAGAAAAGAAAAGAAAATTGCTCTCCTTAAGGGATGTACCAATACAACTTTTTCAGTTCAGATACCTACTTTTATTACCACTACTATACTATATCTTTAAGTATCTGCCAATTGCTGGGTTTCAGATGACATCACAACAATCATTAATACAGATGGGGGGCAGACAAAATAAAAATGGTTAAAAAGGCCTGAGTATCATTAAGAAGTTGCCGATACGGTACATACCTGGATACATAGGACAGTATACGATACATTTTTCGATACAGTGCACTTTTGATTCAATACGATTCGACACGATATATTTCAGATCAATTCGATACGGTTCAGTGAAAAACAAAGGCTCAATCATGGCAAGTCCACTAAGTTTGTGCATAGTTAATATGGAAAAACACCCATTTTACTCTTCAAAATGGTGAAAATGTCAACACAACTGTACCTCTTACACAAAATTATTCAGTAAAATATCCATAAAAATACTCTTGACGATATATCAATACAGCAGCCCACAATATCGATACTGTATCATCAAATTAAACGATACGATATATCAATATTTCAGTATTTTTGTACACCCTTACTTAATATGCAAAATTATGTTCCAGTGAGTTCTAGAGTTTAGTCACTAATTCAAAATAACAAGTTCAACATTTGTGAGTTTACCTTTTAGATATTTTATAACAACGTACAAGTACAAGTACAGTGTAATCAAAAGGAAAAAATGGCCCTTGCCCCCCATCTGCCAGTATGACATCACAACATTTTAGAATCTGAAAACTACCAATACCCGATATCAACCAATACTAGAGCAGAAACTAACAATAATATTTATAGGTAATTTCCCAAAATAAAATAAAACAGAACTGATCCAAAAGTGTTATGTAGCTTTTTTGTATCTCTCAAATAACTACAGAACAACTTTGTATAAATATTTATGAGAATTTCAGAGTTGAATACAACCAGTAAATAGTCTTATTACTTCAATTTATGGGAACAACCAGGATATCGACGGAATCATTATTTGGAAGACGATTTCCGGTTTCCAGCTAATTTTTCAATATCGGTGTTAGGGCTGGGTATCATTTAGAAGTTGCCGATATGATGCATACCTCAATACAGTGCACTTTTGATTCAGTGCAGTGTATTGCAAATCGATTAGATATGGTTCAATAAAAAATAAAGGCTAAGTCATGGCTGTGATACTAAAAGTCTTTATTAAACCACTTCTTGTGCAAAGTGAATATGAAACACAAACATTTTAATCCTCAAAACAGTGAAAATGTCAAATGTGTCGCATAAACAAGTTTCCTTCCTCTGAACAAGCAACAAAACTGTAGCACTGTAACAAAATAATTTAGTAAAATATATAAAAAAATACTCTTGGTGATATATTGATACAGCAGCCCGCAATATTTTTGCACACCCCTAATCGGCGCTGATATCCGATACCAATATTTGATCTATGTGTCCCTACCTACTCTTCTTTTACTTCAGTCTATGGGTTTCAGAATGATGACAAATTAAGACCGTTGCCATGTATTGTGGTATGTGTCTTATCGGCAACTTCTTAAAGGTTGTATAGAGGATTTTTTAAGGAAAGAGAAATCCAGCGACAGTCCTTTTTCAAATGTTGTGCATGCGTGACACCACCTCCCTCCTCCACAGCTCCCTCAGTAGAAACACCTTCTCCCGCCTCCTTACTCTAGAAATCACGCATTCAGAATTACTGTTGAAGTGACCTGTCTAGAAATAATTCAGCGACCGACGTGTCAGATTTTAGACCCTTCGTCTGCTTCAGTCGCACCATCGCTGGAAGGAATCTCCAAGAATCACCTCAGTTTCGCTTCACTCCTTTTCCCCTTCTCTTCTTCTTTCAGCGACCTTACAAACCAACTTTCCTTTGTGGCGAACTGGTCGTGGATTCTCATCCGCCATCGCAACAAACTTTGTGCGAATTGCGAGGAAGCTACAGTTTGAAAAAGCCTCTAAGAATCGCTGCATAAACCACGTAATCCCTGCACGCCGCGAGTCAGTTACACTAGAAACGTAGGGAGTTTGATTGACAGCCTAACAGCAATAAAAAATGAGGTAGCCTTGTTTTCTATTGGCTGGTGTTTATCTGGCCTCACTACGTCCACAGTTGATAGATTTTTGTTCTTTTTTTTTTTTTTTTTTTTGGTCATCATAATTACAAGGCTGCTGAATCTCTGTAATGGTATTTTAAACTTTCATTGACAATTTGAAACAAAATTTTTTTTTATATTTAGCCCTATCGTTATTGTATCAAACCATGAAGGACCCTGTGATTCCAAGCCTTACATTTCATACACAACATGAATAGTCCCTGTAACACTTTACCCACCCTCACTGTCATTCAAGAGAGTTTGTGTGTCTCTGTGTATCTGTCCACCTCCTCCTCTCTACCACAGACTGTAATCAGGCAGAGGATAATAGGCTGTAGTGTTGGAGACATTAAACAGGCTCTTGTGTTATGTAGGTCAGCAGGTGGTTTAATCCTTGTTGCATAATTTTTATATCACAAAATGAGTCAGCAGAACGAAGGCCCAATCTCTCACCTCACCTACACCGCCAGGACAAGCTCGAGATGGACTAAATGTATTTTGAAACTCACGGGACACTGCAGATAATTATACATTTGAAAAGTATTATTTTGAGCTTAATTAGTAGTGATGGGACTGCGATTCCCCAATTTGAGACTCTTACCAAATTTGCGTCAGTCGTGCTGCTCCATTAGCCAGACTTTCCATTATTTTACTCATTAAAAACAGTGAAAAACTTTATCTTAATAATGTCATTTTCAAAAGTGCAGTTGTGTAACTTTTCTGGTGGAGGGTCCATGTTCATGTTTGGTCTTGGATGTTTGACAGTATGGCATCAAACTTTTCTGTCTTCTTGTAGACCAAACCAGACCAAGTTACAAGTCAGATCTGTGGAGAGGCGGCCCCGCTCATAGTCAGAATGCCTGTATTGTATGTCTTTTTGAGCTATAAAGCCACCTGTAATTGAATAAATATAAAGTAGAGCTGTTTAATGCCATACTGAGGAACATTCCAGGCAGAGCAATGATATGGAAATCAGATGGAAAGAAGAGTGATGTTGGTTTTAATTTTCATTTAAGTGCTCTTAAAAAGGTCTTTAAAAGTCTTAAATTTGGGGTAGTCAAACCTGGGAATACCCTGTGATACTGAAAAATTGTGTGCCGTAAAATGACATAAACAAGGCCCGACGTTTGGTCTCGCTACATTCACATTTAATTTTATTATGATATAGAATGCTGATTTTCTGACTCGATACATCACAGTGTGGGACGCGGCCTACGAAAAGCTGGTGAGAGCGTCCCCCCTCTCTTGGGCACAGCAGTTACCCATGTGCCGGCCAAGACCCCCAACAAAAAAGTTACACAGTGCACCTTTAAGTATTAATTTGCCATTGATATAAGTTGAATCAGCAACTTTATACTGCCTAAATGTGGCTGTTATATTATCTGTACTTTGGGGCTGTTTAAGTTATAATTCTACTTCCTTCTCACTTCTTATCTCTATTATTATTATTAAACTTTTTACCCTCTGCAAAGCTCACTCAGGTTTAGGTGACTTTTCGATGTTAAATGTTCTTGGATACCTATTATGCCATATTATGTGACTAAGCACCCCTACTGTCAATTCTCATTGCTGTCTGGTTCGAGACAGGCTGCCCGGTGCCCTGCCAGGACAAATGCCCTTCAGAATAAAACCAACTCTGGGCCAAAACTCTAAATCCATTGACCTCTATGACTGGCTGCCTTCCACTGCACATAACACCGATGTTATGATGACAAGAAACCAAACTGGCATTGGAAAAAAAAGGTTGCCCCCTGCTAAATTAGCGTACCGTATTGGCTTTTAGTAAAAATAATGATCTTTTTCAATCGCAGGCTTTTCAAACGCATCCGCAAAGTCATATTTTTCCGCTTTTGTGAAGAGGAAAAGAAATCAATAAGAACATTCTGCAACCATCTGACATTTGAAGCAGACAAAGGCATAATTATGTGAGGTAGATAAGAAAAAATAATAAATATAAAAAGGACGAGAATATCTATTGCCAAAAGATACAAGCTCCTGACTATTGTGCAACTGTTCACTGACTTTGGTAATGAACTACAATGATCCCTTCAGCTATTTCCAGAGAGCTTTTTTCAAACGGAATAAACAATTTGGGCTTCACATGAGACAGTTTATGTTTATGACAATACAATGAATAAAAAAACAGACCTCTCATTTACTGTGGCTTTCTTTGAAATGTGGTGCCACGTGGACATTGACGGATGACTCAAATGCAGACGAAACTTTGAACAAAAACAAAAGTCTACAGTGAAATGTAAAGGTGCACTGTCACTTTTCTGGTGAGGATCTGCTTGTCTTCATGGCAGTAAAAGAAACATTAAACCGTGAGCATTTATAGTGCCTATGACAGGTTAGACTATTCATTTCCTTCTCAA